AAAATCCACGTTTGGAGTTTTTTCATAGAATTTTCCTTGAAAATCCAAGTTTGCAAAATTTTTCGTTGAAAATCCAAGTTTGAAGAATTTTTCTTTTAAAAATCCACGTTTAGAGCTTTTTGCAGAATCTTTGCTTGAAAATCCAAGTTTGGAAAATTTTTCCTTTAAAAATATAAGTTTGGAGAATATTTCTTTTAAAAGTCCACTTTTGGACTCGCTTGGAGAATTTTTTTTACGTTTCGTGATTTTTTTTTTAAATCCATGTCCGAATAGAATAGAAAATGAGGTGGGAGAATGGATAGGTTTAAATTCAAAAATTCAAGCTTAAAGAGTTGGGAATCCCTTTAAAGTCAATATTTGTAGTTATAGAATTGGAATACATTTTCTATAAAAACCTACGTAAAGGGCCACCGAACCCACATTTGAAGATTCTGAATTAATGAAAAATAAAAATTTATTTAAAGTCCACTTTCGCAGTTTCAAAGGTTCTGCAAAAAAAAAAAATTATATTTAATTTTCCCCATTTTGGTCGTTGAAGCTACATACAGTATGATAACCTCAATATACCCTCCCATTGCAAAGTAAAAGCCATAAAATACACATTTAAAAATGAAAACAAGTTAACAGCAGACTTCACACACACACACATACACACACACTTTCATACTCCTCCATTCTCCTTCATGCTCACTCTCTTAATAGATGTATTCAAGCGAAAAGAACATTCACCTCAATTTAATAGGTCTCCACTTTTACCACCAAACAACAACAGATTGTTATTATTTTTATGTTTTCATATATTTCTTTCTTTTTTTATTTTCTGTTTCGTTGTTGGTTTGTTGTTGTTGTTGCTGTCCAATTAATTTATACTTTATTAATAATACATTTTCATATTGAAATGCAGAAAAAAAATAACTGAGAACAAAAAGAGAAACCGTCAGGCGGGTTTATTGTTCTTGTCACATTTCTTTGTCTCTGTCTGTGTTGGTGTGTGTGTGTGCGAGTCAGTCCTTTATAGCCCAAACCACTTGAAAATAATTGACTAAAATGTATTAATTACACAAATGCACTGAATTTTTATGAGTTTATTTGTTTTTCTTAACTATTCCAAACAAAACAATTCAAAAATTGGAAATATTTGAAAAAATTTCCGATTGTAGCCAAGTGGTGTAAATCATTTTGTGTCCATCTGAAATTAACTTTCGTTTGCATTGCATTCGAAGAAATTCCAGTTAATTGTCATCTAAATTTAGTTGAAGTTTATCCCCATGTAATTATCTCATCTGTTTTACAAATCGATAACATAATTCGTATTGTTATTATTACGTATACTTAATGGCATCAATACTCGTAATTATACGCCCTGAATGTTTGTCAATAAATATTAATGATATGCCATTAGCATTAGTTGGATATGTATTTCGAGGCGGTTTTGTTGCATGGTAATAGAAATTGAATAATTGGAAAATTTGTTTAAATATTTGAAAGGGAAATTTAATTTGAAGGAGAAAATATTTAAAGGTAGATATGGAAGAATATGTTGCAGGGTTAATTAATTTTTTTTTAACGATCTTCAGGCTATAGACAAGGATCTTTCTGATAGTTTTTGGAATAGTCTTTGACAGTAATTTTTTTAAGGATGTGGATTTCTATTATTTTTTTTTCAAGGACTCTTCAAGCTATATATGTGGTTTTAAGAATTTTTCAGGTCATATAGTATCATTTTTAAAATATTTTTTTCAAAGACTTTAGGGTCATGGACGTGGATATTTAAAGCATTTTTTTTTCGAAGACTCTTCAGGCCATAGGCTCGGATTTTTATTAAATTTTTTCAAGAGTTCTTCGAAGGAAGCCAATTTTCTACCAAGAACTACTCAGACTCTTCAGGTGTGGATATTTTAATATTTTTATAAGGATTCTTTAGACCATTTAAAACGTATTTAGTCAAGGACTTTTCAGACCGATGTTGTAATATTATTTTCTTAAGGACTCCTTAGGGCAAAGTCTCCAATATTTTTATAAGATATATTTTTTCAAAGTCTCTAAAGACCAATTTTTCAAGGAATCTTTAGACAATAATATTTTTTAAGGACTTCTTGGGGAAAAGGCTCCAATATTTTTTTAAGGATCCTGTAGACTATTTTATTTTTTTCCAAGGACTCTTAAGTCTTTTTAAAACCTTTTTTAAAATACTTGTTTTAAAGTCTCTTAAGACCAATTTTAAAAAACTAGTTTTTTAAGGACTCTTCAGACCAATGTTGTAATAATATTCTTCAAGGACTCCTTGGGGGAAAAGCTCCAACATTTTTTAAGGATTCTATGGTCCATTTTTAATTTTTTTCCAAGGCCTCTTTAGACCGGTGGTATAAAAATATTTTTTCAAGGACTCCTTAAAACAAGGACACATTTCTAAAATATTCTTTTTTAACACTCTGAGGGCAAAAGGATTTTCATAATATACTTTTAAGGACTCTGTCTCTACATTTTTGTCAAGAATATGAGTGGATTGTTGTAATATCTTGAATATTTGAATATTTTGAATTTTAATAATTTTTTTAAGGACCCATTGGTCAAGATTTTTCTAAAAATATTTTCAAGAGCTTCGCAGGATATGGTCTTGAATTCTTATGATTTTTTTCCAAGCTATCTTTAGGATACTGGTTTGGGCTTTGTAAATTTTTTAAGGATTCTTTAGGGTATAGTCTTGGTTTTACCCAAAATCTCTTTAGTAGTAGATTTTTATTATAGACTTTGTCAATTTATCTTCAAGGACCTTTAAGACCACAGTCTTGCATTTTTTGTTATGATGTTTCCAAGGACTTCCGGTTATTGGTGTGGATTTTTTCAACCCATATTCATGGATTTTAAAGAGCATATTTTTCAAGGACTCTTAAGGCTTGGGTTTTTATAATAATTTTTTCAAGGACTCTTCAGGCCATAGGTGAAGATTTTATAAATACTATGTTTTTTAAAAGACCCTTACGGCCATATTCGTTCATTTTTATAAGAATATTTCTTAAGGGCTCTTCACGCCATATGCGTGGATTTTTATAAGAATATTTTTTAAGGACTCTACAGGCCTTAGCCGTGGATGTTTATAGGAATATTTTTCAAAGACTCTTCATGCCAAAAGGCGATGGATTTTTATAAGAATATTTTTCAAGGACTCTAGGAGCCATAGGCGTGGATTTTTATAAGAATATTTTTCAAGGACTCCAGGAGCCAAAGGCGTGGATTTTTATAATAATATTTTTCAAGGACTCTTTAGGCCACCGGCGTGGATTTTTATTAGAATATTTTTCAAGGACTCCAGGAGCCAAAGGCGTGGATTTTTATAATAATATTTTTCAAGGACTCTTTAGGCCACAGGCGTGGATTTTTATTAGAATATTTTCAAGGACTCTGGGAGCCATAGGCGTGGATTTTTATAAGAATATTTTTTCAAGGACTCTAGGAGCCATAGGCGTGGATTTTTATAATAATATTTTTCAAGGACTCTAGGAGCCATAGGCGTGGATTTTTATAATAATATTTTTCAAGGACTCTAGGAGCCATAGGAGTGGATTTTTATACGAATATTTTTTCAAGGACTCTAGGAGCCATAGGCGTGGATTTTTAAAGAATATATTTTCAAGGACTCTAGGAGCCATAGGCGTGGATTTTTATAAGAATATTTTTTCAAGGACTCTAGGAGCCATAGGCGTGGATTTTTATAAGAATATTTTTTCAAGGACTCTATGAGCCATAGGAGTGGATTTTTATACGAATATTTTTTCAAGGACTCTAGGAGCCATAGGCGTGGATTTTTAAAGAATATTTTTTCAAGGACTCTAGGAGCCATAGGCGTGGATTTTTATAAGAATATTTTTCAAGGACTCTAGGAGCCATAGGCGTGGATTTTTATAAGAATATTTTTCAAGGACTCCAGGAGCCAAAGGCGTGGATTTTTATAATAATATTTTTCAAGGACTCTTTAGGGCACAGGCGTGGATTTTTATTAGAATATTTTCAAGGACTCTGGGAGCCATAGGCGTGGATTTTTATAATAATATTTTTCAAGGACTCTTTAGGCCACAGGCGTGGATTTTTATTAGAATATTTTCAAGGACTCTGGGAGCCATAGGCGTGAATTTTTATAATAATATTTTTCAAGGACTCTAGGAGCCATAGGCGTGGATTTTTATAAGAATATTTTTTCAAGGGCTCTAGGAGCCATAGGCGTGGATTTTTATAAGAATAGTTTTCAAGGACTCTTCAGGCTTTCCAAAGATTTTTAAGAACGTTTCCGGTCAAAGGCGTGGATTTTAATAAGAATAGTTTTCAAGGACTCTTCAGGCTTTCCAAAGATTTTTAAGAACGTTTCCGGTCAAAGGCGTGGATTTTTATAAGAATAGTTTTCAAGGACTCTTCAGGCTTTCCAAAGATTTTTAAGAACGTTTCCGGTCAAAGGCGTGGATTTTTATAAGAATAGTTTTCAAGGACTCTTCAGGCTTTCCAAAGATTTTTAAGAACGTTTCCGGTCAAAGGCGTGGATTTTTATAAGAATAGTTTTCAAGTACCCTAGAAGCCATAGGCGTGGATTTTTTTAAGAATATTTCAAGGCCATGGGCTTGGATGTTTTAAAGAATGTTTTTCAAGGACTCTTCAGGCTTTTCAAACATACTTTAAGACATTTCAGATCATTAGTGTGGATTTTTATATGAATATTCTTTTAGGACTCTTCTGACCTTTCAAAGATTTCTAAGGACCTTTCAAGTCATATATGTGGATTTTTATATGAATATTTTTAAGGAATCTTCTGGCTTCCGAAAATTTCAAGAATTAAGATTCAAGACTGTAGGCTTGAAATTTCGTGTTTTTCCACCTGATGTTGATTTCTTCCTGGAAATCTTCAAAAAGTATTTCTGATATAGATGTAGACCCCAAATGTTTCGAAAGGATTCTTCCAAAAATATTTGGAATTTCAATTTTGTTTTACAAAATATTTTGATTCATTGTTTTCTTGCTTTAAATGTCAGTAAATAAATAATTTTCCCCCTATGTACGAAGACGCCTTGGGACCCTTGAATTTGGTACGAGATTCTGAACTAAAGGAGCTAGCCAAACCACCTCCCCTTGACATCAAGGGTTTGGCGGTGCTTCTCGAGGATATAGTTCAAACCGCAGCTGGCTACATCAATGGCGATCCCCATGAAGAATTTCTGTACAAAAATCCAAATGGTTGGAAAATATTTACAAAACAGAAGTTGAAAATTGAAAACAATGATAGCAGCAGTGATTCCTTTACCCTGCCCAGTACCTCCAGTTCCAGTTTGGGAAGTCAGATGCCACGAGAACCCTGGTGTTTGTTGAGTGATTTTCAGTTCCCTGCTGTGGTGAGGCAAATAACACAATTCATTGAAAGTTGGGAGCTGACACCGGCCACCAAATTCGTGGTCATTGCCCGGGAGTTGGGGGTGGAGATACCGCCATTTGGCAAGAGATATTTTGTGGAGGCCCATTTTTCAAAACCCACCCCCAAGTGTCCCAACCCCTTGGCCGTGGCCAAGGTCTTTTTTCATGTCAATGTATGTGATCTCCTGCCGCGGGATTATCCTGTAAGTGTTACCTATCAATTTGAAAATCATCGCAGCCGTTATTATGCCCTCGGCTGGCGGAAATTAAATTCAAATAATTTTCAACGATATTTCATTGATTCGGTGTTGCACATGAAATTGGCTTTTTATGCCGAGTTGGAAGAATGTCGTCGCAAATTGCATTCGCAGGATAAATAAATTTTTGATTAAATAACTCTTTGCAATTGACACACAATTTGGTTTTTCGGGAGCAATGACCCCCCTGAGACGGGGAGAGAGGGGTGGGGGTGATGTCATCCATTAAAATAAATGAAGTGAAAAATTGTATCAATTATTTTCATTAAATGGAAATTGTCTTTGAGTGCTGGTCAGCCCGTCGACCAAACAGCATGGGCTGGACCAGTTAACCTGGTAATCCAACTAACCAGGCAACCGGCCGGCCGGCCAATAACCTGTTTGTGTAAATGAAAATTTGCTTTTCATTGAAATTTTCATTAAAATCCCCATTGGTTTTTTAAACAAATGTTTTTCACTTCACTTCGTTAGTTTTAGCGGGTTAGCGGGGGATTCAATTTTTTGGGACCTTAAATTTAAATCCTCGTTAATACCAAAAAATATTCGGAGAAGAATTTAATTTGACTTATTTTTAGAAAGGATTGTCTTTAAGTGCCACCTTTTAATCCAACAATGATGGAATTCGGTGTCTTGTATTATATTACACCCTCAATCCTTTACTCAGGAAAAAATAACCTTCGAATAATGAAATTCCCATTAAAGTGCGTAGAATATTGGATGTCGCTTCCTGGTTGCCTTGGTAACTGCTTATGGAGTTTTACATATACATATATATATATATATATATATTTTTTTTTTGCAGGGCCAATCCTATGAGGAACACATATCTATCACATATCCTTAGACACACACACACACACACTCGAAACGCAGCTGTGGTAGCCACAACAACAATGCCTAATGTATAGGGTGAGATAAGAAAATTGCAACCAAATTCAGGCTGCTGTCATTTCTAAGCCACTTGTCCGACAGCTGTAAAAATTATTCCAGTGACAGCTCATTATATTGTCTAGAAGCGTGCAAAAGCATTTTGGTGAGAACTTTCCAGAAAAAAAAGTTATTCGTAATCGGATTCAAGCGGGATAGTGTGATTTCTCCATATTTGGCTGGAGAACCACAAGTGGCTATCGTTAGAACACTCCAGCATTTATATGTGAATAAATCCTTTACGTCTCGTACCATCGCTCGTTACCTTGAGCTCATTACTGGTAGCGTAGGCCGAAGAAGTCAAGGAAATGGACGGAAGAAAACAGCAACATCAGCAGAAATGCTACGAAAAGTAAAGAAGCGACTTGAGCGACAGTGGCCGAAAAATGGCTCGTGAGCTCAACATATCACAATATTTCATTCAGCAAATATTGAACAGCGAGCTCGGGGTAGAGCCATTGAAATTCCAAAAAGTGCCAGAACTTACACCGCAGCAGAAAAAATAGACTCAAAAGAGCTAAAGACTTTGCTTAATCGACCGTGGCATCAGAACAATTGCCGAATATTATCGCGAAAATATTCTGGAGGGTTTATTAAAGCCTTGGGCTCGCAAACATTTTGGCCGCAGACCTTGGGCATTAGAAAAAATGGCGAATATTATCACGAAAATATTCTGGAGGGTGTATAAAGCCTTGGGCACGCAAACATTTAGGCCGCAGACCTTGGACATTCCAACAGTGTACCTACAGTTGACAACCAGAACTCAAGCGCAGCCCATGATGATGGTGTGCGCCGCCATTACAGCCGACGGTCGCTCTCCGCTCGTATTAATCGACTGTGGCATCAAAATAAATGCCGCATATTATCGCGAAAATATTCTGGAGGGTGTACTAAAGCCTTGGGCACGCAAACATTTTGGCCGCAGACTTTGGGCATCAGAATAAATGCCGAATATTATCGCGTCAATATTCTAGAGGATGCATTAAAGCCTTGGGCATGCAATATTTTGGCCGCAGACCTTGGATATTCCAACAGAGCACCTACAGTTGGCCACCAGAACTCAAGCGCCGGCCATGGCGATGGTGTGGGCCGTCATGACAGCCGATGGTCGCTCTCCGCTCGTATTAGAATAATCGACCGTGGCATCAGGGTAAATGCCGAATATTATCGCGAAAATATTCTGGAGGGTGTATTAAAGCCTTGGGCACCCAAACATTTTGGCCACAGAACTTGGACATTCCAACAGTGCACCTACAGTTGGACATCAGAACTCAAGCGCCGGCCATGGTGATGGTGTTGGCCGCCATAACAGCCGATTGTCGTTCTCCGCTCGTATTATTCGACCGTGGCATCAAAATAATTGCCGAATATTATCGTGAAAATATTCTGGAGGGTGTATTAAAGCCTTGGGCACCCAAACATTTTGGCCACAGAACTTGGACATTCCAACAGCGCACCTTCGGTTGGCCACCAGAACTCAAGCGCCGGCCATGGTGATGGTGTGGGCCGCCATAACAGCCAATGATCGCTCTCCGCTCGTATTAATCGACCGTGGTAAATGCCGAATATTATCGCGAAAATATTCTGGAGGGTGTATTAAAGCCTTGTGCATGCACTCATTTGGGCCGCAGACCTTGGGCATTTCAACAGGACTCAGAACCATGGCACGCTCATTCAGAACGCGCCACCCAAGAATGGTTACAAAATGGGGTTCCTCGCTTCATTTCCAGCGCAAATTGACCATCAAAATCTCTGGATACCAATCCCTTGGACAATTGTGTCTGGAGTATTTTGGAAAGCAAGGTTGGCACTAAAAAATACCAAAGTGTTGATCACCTCAAGCAAGCGCTTCGCCGGGAATGGGTCAAAAAACCGAGCAGAGCAACATTCAGGCAGCGTGTGACTCAGGACTCATCCAAGAATGGTTACGGAAATGAGGTTCCTCGCTTCATTTCCAGCGCAAAATGGCCACCAAAACCTCCGGATACCTATTCTTTGGATTATTGCGTCTGGAGTATTTTGGAAAGCAAGGTTGCCACTAAAAAATACCAAAGTGTCGATCACCTCAAGCGAGGGCTTCGCCGGAACTGGGCCAAAATACCGCAGAGCAACATTCGGACAGCGTGTGGCGATTTCATTGGCAATAATTCGTGCCAAAGATGACAAATTCGAACAAATCTAAATTTATTCTAAAATTTGATGATATTTCCGACATTTTTTGATTTCATTCAAAAAATTTAAAAAAAAATTAAAAATTAAAACAAATAAAAAATTATAAAAATTAAATTTTGTCTTTGTTGCAGTTCTTTTTAGATCTCACCCTGTACATGAAACGCAGCTGTGGTAGCCACAACGACAATGCCCAATGTATGTGTGTGCGTGTTGGATTTTTTTCCATAACAACATTATGAGTTGTCAGCTTTATATTTTGCCTTTCCCCAAAAAAAAAAAAAAAAAAAAAAAAGAGGGAAAGAAGGGAAGGGCGTAGAAAATCTAAAAGTGAGAAAACACTCCACTCCCTAACACACACACACACATACGCATATGTTACAACATGTCTATTGACATCCTTATAAAATTGCAAGGATTCTGCTCTTTTTTTCTCAAAATATTGTGAATGTTGCAGTCTCTGTCATCATCACTGGTTGGGCCCCTTTACTCCTGGCCACTGCACTTGATGCTAATGTCGGGTGTTTAATGCCAGAGAGTGCTCTTTAATTGGATTTGTTTTTTGGGTGTGTTTTTTTTTTGCTTCGTCTTCCGACAAGTGAGATGAGGTTTTAATGCCATTCTGTCCTTTTTTTTGGGATTTTTTGTTTTTGGAAAATAGACAAAACTAAAATTCAACACACACACACAACAGCCAACCAACACACATCATCCCACCCACTCACCACTGACAAACTCACCAACAATTAATGTCCACTAGACCTTTACTAACTCGTAAGCATATTTACATATGCATTAACTTCTAATCCGGTCAGAAGTCAAAATGCGTTTCGACTCAAGGGCAAAGTGTATTAAAAATCGGAAAATGCATGCAAAGCTTACAAAAAAAAGCTAAAGGACTTATTTAGCTTGACATTTCGGGATATTTAATGTAAACGAACTTTGTAATAAATCCTCTTAATGGATTCTCAATATAAAATGGGACCTCCAGGATTATCAAAAATATTGCCGAATAACAAAAACTCCTTTTAGGTTCCTAACAAATTTCTAGAATTTTTTCCGGAAGAAGTTCTTACAACCCTTTATTAAAGCTTTTTACGAAATTGGAAAAAATATTTATTCAAAAAGATGTATTCGGAATTTTATTTCAAGGACTAAAGAATAACAAATTCAAAACAAAAATATTATGAAATACACTGACAGTGTCTTAAAGAGTCCTTGGAAAAAAATTCCGAATCCATCACGAAAATAATAAAAAATTATAACCAGAGCCCTTAAACAAAAATATTATAAAATACAATGAGAATGTATATTATAAATAAATTAATTAATTAATTTATTATTATAAATTTGGACTAATAAAAATTAATTCAAAAATATTTATTGTAATTTTTATTCGAAAGTGATGGATTTAGAACAAGGACTCTTCCAGATATTGGTATCGTATTTCATAATATTTTTGTGAAGGACCCCGGATATTATTTTTTATTCTTTTCGTGATGGATTCGGAATATTTTTTCCAAGGACTCTTCAAGACATTGTCAGTGTATTTTATATTATTTTTGTTTAAGAATTTAAGAATTTTATTTTATTTTTAAAGGATTTTTAGACTAAATAAAGGACTCTTGTGGTCTTCATTGGTTTTTCAAGACTTATCATATTCCTCAGACTCTAGGCATAGAGATTAATAATATTTTTAAAAGATTTTTTATGACATTCTTTGGAATATTTTGTTAAGGACTCTTCTGACCATAATTTGTTTTCATACGGATATTGCAGACTCTTCAGAATAATTTATACAATTTTTAAAAGGATTCTTTAGACAATTTTTAAAATTTTTTTTTTCAAGGACTCTTCTGGTCGTTGCTTTTATTTAAGGCAATATTTAAAATATTTTTTTTTTTCAAAGACTGTTCTCCGATTCTTTGGACTATATGGATTTTTTAAAATTAAATTAAAATTTTTAAAATATATTTTTCAAGGACTCTGATTTTTTTTAAGGACTTCTCAGACTCTAAGACTATAGGCGTGGATATTTGTAATATTTTTTAAAGCTC